AACCATTACAAAAACTTTTGTTTACTCATCATCTCAGGTTAACAACAAAAGCCATGAAAATCATCCTTTCATTATATAATTCTGTTTCTTAGAATTTTCCTTGTGAAGTAACTAGAAATTCAGACCGATTTATTTAAAATATTTCTTTGTATGTAGATTTAGAATGGGAACGTCAAGAGTTGGCAACATTCTAGATGCCTGACAGTAAACTGTTGGTGGAAACAGTGCATATCGATGACATGGAAAATGTCCAAAATGTAATGAAGAAATGACAGAAAATTATGTATACCGTAAGATACCCCACCAAACAAACAAAATTTTACATGTAAGTATAGAGGAACCTAGGTGTCATTTCTAATAAGTGGGATTAAAAATTACTTTAACTTTTTCCCGTTTTCCTAAATATGCTTTCAGTCTCCATGGATTTGCCTATTCCGGACATTTCATCTAAATGGAAACATACAGTATGTGGACTTCTCTGTCTCACCTCTTAACTTGGCACCAAAACATTTTATTGTTGGTTATTTTGGCTGTAGCCATCCAAAGTTGTATATGAAGTGCTATCTCATCATGGGGATTTTCATTTACCTAATGGCTAATGTACATCTTCTCGTTACATTATTAGCCATTTGTGTATCTTTGAAGAAAAATGTCTACTTAGGTCATTTCATTATTCATTTGCTGGAGTTCTTTATGTTCTAGATACTATTTTATATGTATATAAATTGCAGATATTTCCTCATTCTGTTGGCTTTCTTTTCACTTTTTTTCCCTAGGCTTCAATATTCAAGGTTGGTTTTTGTAAGTGATGTTAATTACAGCATTTGAAGGGGAAGATAAAATTCCACACAAAATAGAAGACTCTAAAATGTACCCATTAATACTGCTAAAAAACAAATTGGTAAGAATACTACAGAAGTCTGATTTAGGTTCTGAGTGTCGTCACCATGTGATTACAATCACACAGTCTTTCAGTCATTTCACTTTCCTGTGTCCTTTGAAACAGTTTTTCATTTTGATTAAGTCAGACTTATTTTTCTTTGGTTGCTTGTGCCTCATCCATGTTGAGTTTTATAGTTGCGTCTCCTACATTTAAGTTTTATATATGGTATAAAAGATGTGATTTCATTCTTCTAACATGTGGCTACTGTCAGAGCACCATTTATTGAAAAGATTTTTTTCCCATTGTCAAAAATCAATCAAGTATAGATGTATGGGTTTATTCATAGACTCTTAATTGTATTATAATGATCTGTAATCTCTTCTTATGCCCATACCACATTGGCTTGATTTCTGTTGCTTTGCAGGAAATTTTGAATGTGGGAGTCCTAAGTTTGTTTTTTCTAGGCTGTTGGCTATTCTAGGTCCCTTCTATTTCCATAAGAATTTTAGGATCAGGTTATCAATTTCTCTACTAAACTAAAGGCATTTGAGATTTTGTTAAGGACTGTATTCATGACATAAAGCAATGTGGAAAATAATGCCATATTAAGCCTTCCAGTCCATGAACATGAGATGTCTTTCCATTTATTGGGTTTTTAATGTCTTTTAACAATGAATTATAGTTTTTAGTAAGTCTCATATTTATTCCTAAGTATTTTATTCTTAATGCTATTGTAAAAAAGTGGAATTTTCTGGTTTTGGATTGCATATGTAAATACAGTTGTTTACGTATACATTGCATCATGCAACACTGAACTTTTCTTTTTCGTGGATTACTTAGGCTTTTCTGTATTGAAGGTCATGTTGTTTGCAACCAGAGATAGTTTAAACTCTGCCTTTTCCATCTGGATGCCTTTTCTTTCTCCTGACACACTGTCCTGGATAGAGCCACCAGTACAATGTTTATTAAGTGGCAATAGCGGACATCCTTGTCTTCTTCTGATATTAGGAAGAATCTTGCTTTCATCACTAATTATGATGCTAGCTGTGGGTTTTTCATAGATAGCCTTTATCTGGTTGAGGATGTTCCCTTATGTATAGTTTGTCTTTAATAAAGGACAAAACCCACGTGACTATTTCAGTAGATGCAATGTATGTTTGTTGAGTGTTTTCATCATGGAAGGATCCAAAACCCTTCCATGATGAAAACACTCAACAAACATACATTGCATCTACTGAAATAGTCACGTGGGTTTTGTCCTTTATTAATATGGTACATTACACTGATTTTTGAATGTTTTTAAGAAAGAGTTTTGCTCTGTTACCAAGGCTGGAAGGCAATGGCACAATCATGGTTTGCTGCATCCTCAAACTCCTGAGACAAAGCCATCCTCCCACCTCAGTTTCTGTAGTAGCTGGGTCTACAAACATACACCACCATACCCTGCTAATTTTTGTGCTTTTAGTAGAGACAGGGTTTTGCCATGCTGTCCAGGCAGGTCTCAAACTACTTGGCTTAAGTGATCTCCCCGCCTCGGCCTCCCAAAGTTTACAGCATGTGCCACCATGCCTGGCCAACTTTCTAATTTTAACCCAACCTTAGATTTGTAGCATAAATTTCTTTTGGTTATGATATAGAGCCAAATTGTAGAAAAGAAATTATCAACATGTTATATTTTTACAAATCAAATATGGAAATAGAAGGGTCAAAAAAATGCACTGATAAACCCCAAAACTCCCTAAAATTGCATCTTGGATTTATTGGCTCTAAAAGAAGAGCCAAGAAGAGAATTACTCTTTTAGGGCCAATAACGGAATAAAAGTTGTTCAGCTGCTTCACCTTGTATTGAACTATTTCTGAGAGAATTCACTCAGGAAGCTTAAATAACTTGCACAGAGATCTTTAAACTCAAAATTTCATGCTCTGTTTTGGTGAGTGGTGGCGCCCTTTCCTTCAGTGGAGATGAGAATAAGCAATGGGTCACCCTGGCTCAAGGACAATTTCTTCCGTCCCTCCTACCCTTACTCCTCGTACCCCTAAAAGAACACCCTTTGCCCTTTGACATTTTTTTGCTAATGGGGATGATTTACAACTCCTTCATATGCTTAAGTTCAATAGTTACCTAATAATTTCTGTGAAATTTAGAAGTACTATTTCATTCCAAGATAAGGGATTCCAACTGAAGAAAACATTTCCATGTTACTTGCCCTCATGAGCCATCTAGGTCGTTTCTGTGGTCATTGAATAACCCTTGAAAACAGCGGGATACATAAGAACACAGATCTGTTTTTCTGTTAAAAAGATACCAACCACTATATTAAAAAGTTTATTTCAGTAACATTGTAAGGCAACAATTAATCCTCAGTAAGTCAGCAAGCCAGTGATAAGAAATTGACAGACAAACACTCCTACAGCTTCCTGAGTCAGCAGGCTGGTTTGTGGCTCCCTTGGTAGTCATATCTTTAGGAATCCTATCATGCTTGTTTATATATACTGAACTGTAGAAACAAACACTTCATTTGACAATCATTCTTAGGTCAAACACAAGAAGGAACTACTGTGAAATCATAATTCTACACACATTTTCCCTGAATAAGCACTGTACTACTAACATTTAAATTCTGCAGAAAATAATGCATTTGTTAGTGACTGTGTTCGAGCTTGAAAAGACTCTTTTAGAAATTAAATGATCAGATATTCTTTAAGAAAAAATTTAATCTCAGTGTCTTCCAGTGTGACAGACTGTGTGCTTAACAGAGCCATAAATACTTTTGATAATTACTTGACCATTTCTGTCATTAAAACAACCTCCCAGAATGTTACAAGCCCTGAGACTACTGAGCGTCTTATTATTGACCTTGTACAATACCAAAGCTTCATAATACTAAAGAAAACCAAAACAAAGACAATGGTTTACACAGGGAAATAACCCAAAGGCAAAAGGAAAACAGTGATAATTTATTACTGAAAAACAGTAAAGGCATCCTTTCCAAAGTGGAATGGAAATCACAGGGAACACTAATTGTATCAGATGCAAAACAGGTCCGTATTTTAAAATTCATTGAGAGATTATTACTTTTTCTCCACAACTGTGATTCTGTACAAGATTAAACCCTACAAACCTTATGTGCTACCTGACAGATAAAAGTAGCAGGAGCTATACTATTGAAGCACTTGAGACCGATTTCTGCAAAGTCCAGAAAAAGGAGTGACTCCAATGTGCAGTGCTAATGCATGTGACAGCCAAACATGTTATCATTCAGCTCTGGCTGCAGCCCTGCTATCTACATGGCCCCAATTAGTTTTTAGGGAGTCACAGATTGGGCAGGCAAGAAGGAGCAGGATTTTAAAAGCACATCATACACATTAGACAAGCAGCCTAAGTACGTTTTCCTCCTGCATTGCACACTTACTGTGCTCTTTCTGTTCAAATAGATCCACAGGCCACCTTTCGAGAGCATTCCTTCTCATTTCCTCCATCATCCAAGAAAAATCTAGCTACCTCTTTTTAACTGTGCCTTCCAACATTTTACATTTCCTAATGGGAAAATGAAAGCTTGCACATTTTGCCACTGATCTCACCAACCCCCTCACTGCTGGACCAAAAAGCCATGAGAGGTACTGCTATGATATACCTTATAAGCTACATGGCCATCTTCAAAATGAAAACCACCTTTAAGTCCTCATGCTGCCATTATTGCAGGATCTGAACCACCTATAGATACAGCCGTCTTACTCCAGTATAAGTCACAACCTCAAGTCTCGGGAAAGCCAGCCTACTGGATAGTAAGTTACTGAGAAAATCTATTCAACTGGCTGGAAGACAAGAAGACATAAGATTATGCCATAAAGGATTAAGGTTGTATAACACAAGACTCGTGTGAAACAAAAGATAATAAATATTTATAAAGTGCCCAGCACTCCCAGCCTGCCTTCTACCCCAGAATAGCCCAGGTGGCAGCTCAGTGCTCTGAGGAAGGAAGTTAAGGTCACATACTGGCACAAACAATATTCTGAACCAAAAGAACCTACAAAAACGAGAAGGCTATGTGGCCAAATAGTCTCGTTTTTAAATTGGTAAGATGGAGAGAGGTAACAGACATGTTTCAGAGGAAAACAGCGCAGCCATGGATCTGAGTGTCCACTTGTCAGGACAGTGAGTCACCAGCTCAGCATGGGATCCAGGCCTCAGTACAGAGACACAAAGCACACTAGAGAGGCTGCCTGAAGAAACAGCTAAGCACAGGCTACAGCCTCAAGAGTGCAATGCTTCTCCCCCAGCCCTATGGCAATCACTTCAGTGACCCATACAAGAGTTACAGTCTCAAGGGGAATCATTACCTCAGTAAGTGATATTTCACCCACCATCCACTAATTCAACAAATGGTCTTGGGGCTTAAATTGGAAACCACTTTTATCTCATTAATCTCTCATTAATCTCATTAATCATTTATCTCTGACAGTGTACCTCTTTCTTGATCCTAAAGGGGCAGCTATTGAAGTGGTTTGTTGGCTTTTGTCCTTAAGATCACATAAAATAATGTGTGTGTAGTGGCAGTACCCACATGTGCTTACGTGCTAGAAAACTGGCACTTTCAAGTGTCAACAGGCCATGCATTGTGCCACAGCTTAACCCTTATAGTGCTTGGCCCTGAAAAGTGTTAACCCAGAAAGCTCTTTGAACATACGCTCATTAAAATTCATTGACTTACGTTATAAACATCCATGGTTTCTCTAACATAGGGAGAAACCATGTCACATGGCGTATCCACTGGGCATGTACTTAGAGTTCATCCACAAGATTAAAACACAAAGAGATCGTAGGTGCACACCCAGGCAGAGGGAAATGTCCAATCTGGAAACTTCTCCTTCAGAGCATCCAGCTGAGGGGATCTCTTGTCTTCCCCAGATAGATAGTGGGCAGCAATGGCCACAGTGACCATTCCTTCGGGATGTTCTTCTGAGACCTGCCAAAGAAAATCAATTAGTTCCTCAGTTCTTGGAAGCCAGAATACTGAACCCAAGGTTCTTGCTAAATACCACCTGGGAACCTAATCAATGAAAAAAGCAATGCTGGGAAATGTGCACCTGCACTTCTATCCAGAACTGCCATGCAGAGGCCTCGAGTCCATGGGAGTAAAAGACAAAGTAGTCTCCTCCTTTACTTGTGACTGGGGTGCCATTGCCAAGAGACCACTGAGAAAGTGTTGACCCTTTGTGGGCTCGAACATAGAAGGACATATGGCTTGGTCCTATAAGGTAGAAGGAACAAAGAATAGTTAATCTTCTGAAATGGATTAAAAAAATAACCCACAATCCAAACCAGATTTCATGAAGGTTCATGCCTGGATGACTCTAAGTATACTCACTATCAACCTAATGCAGGTTTACCACTTTGAACACTTGGCGTGAATCGACAAGCTTAAGTAATGAGGTAGCGCAGAAAAGACAAGAGTCTCAATGAGAAAGCCTTAGCTTTAAGTTGGTCCTGTCACTTAATTGCTGCATGGCATCAGGAATTCAATCTAAGCCAAAATTTATTCATCTGTGAAACACATTTTTTTGAGGGGATTACCTTACAAAAAGCCATATGGAAGTGTTAACAAAACTGCAAAGTGCTACAACAGTACTGAATATGACTGTCATTATGAATGGAGTTGTTTATAATTTTCAGAGTTGATCATGTAACACCTTAAAATATGTTTTACTAGTTTTTCCCTTCAAACTGGAAAATAACTGCTCAGTTCTGAAAATTTAGTTATGACTGGGGACTTCCAAGGAAACTGATGACAGTGGCAAACTAAAACTAAAACAGATAAAACTAAACCAAAACACCCTCAGCCTAACTTGAAAATAGAGCATACCCACATTTGCATTAAATGTAAATTTGTAAATCTTGGAGAGCAATCTCACATACTTGTGCCCAACCTGCTAATGTTGCAAGGCTTTCTGGCAAATGCAGGCCAAGTAAGCTCACCCTAAATCTGAAAATACTGCTATAGTGTCCAGTCAAAGATTTACAGGGCAGGTACTTAAAAGTACACATTATTGAACTAACAGTCTTCAAAAGCAAAGCTCAGGGAGAAATAAATGGAAAAAGAAACGAGAGGCATCATTTGGCACTTGGGTGGTGAAGGTGAAAAGAAGCAAAAGAAAATTCAGGGTCCTGTAAGAAAAAACAAAATGTTGAAAGAGATATATTATTCATACACCAACACAAACTTACTAAAGAATCTGGACTTTATGACACTGGCAGAAAAAGCAGCCATTGCTAGAAATCGTACAAAACAGCACAAAAATGAGGAAGGAAATAAATCCATACAGTTATTACCAAAAAAAAAAAAAAACACCACCATGAAGCAGAAGAAAACATCATGACTATACTCCAACTATAAATACATACACAAAAACATGGGGATTATTTAAAACTCCACCATGAATCAAAAATTCTTACTAGAAGGGAGAATTAAAAGGACTGGACTCAAAAAAGAAATGGAGGAAAAAGGCAAAATTACCTTAGAAATGAAGAAAATTGGGTCAGGCGCAGTGGCTCAACATCTGTAATCCCAGCAATTTGATAAGTCAGGGCGGGTGGATCACTCGTGATGGGGAATTTGAGACCAGCGTGACCAACAGAGAAAAACCCCATCTCTACTAAAAATGCAAAATTAGCCGGGAGAAGTGGCACATGCCTGTAATACCAGCGACTTGGGAGGCTGAGGCAGGAGAATCACTTGAACCCAGGAGTCTCCTCTGTCGCCCAGGCTGGAGAGCAGTGGCACCATCTCAGCTCACTGCAACTTCTGTCTCCATGGTTAAAGTGATTCTCCTGCCACAGCCTCCTGAATAGCTGGGATTGATTACAGGTGCATGCCACCACTCCCAGCTAATTCTTGTACTGGAGTTTCACCATGTTGGTCAGGCTGGTCTGGAACTCCTAACCTCAAGATCCACCCACCTCAGCTCCAAAAGTACTGGGATACAAACGTGAGCTACCATGCCCAGGCTTTTTTTTGGTAGAGATGGGTTCTCCCCATGTTGCCCAGGCTGAGCTCCTGGCCTTAACCCATCCTCCTGCCTCAACCTCCCAAAGTGCTAAGATTACAAGAGTAAGCCACACCAGACCTGGCAGAAATAACTTATTATAGTGAGGATTTTAATATATCCAAATATATTACAAAAACAAATACTAAGGTGAAGGTGTAAGACAAATGTACAAATGTTACATGTTGTAACAAAAATTGGATGGAAAATGGGAGAGGGAAAGAGGAAAGGAGAATAAGCTTGCTGCTGTATAGGCTAATTGATGGTAGTTAATACTTTTTTTTTTTTTGAGAAAGAGTCTCACTCTGTGGCCCAGGCTGGAGTGCAGTAGCACAAATTCAGCTCACTGCAACTTCCCGCTCCAGGTTCAGGTAAAATAACAGAGGATTAAAACAAATATAAATATTCATAAATGCCAGAAAATAAAATGTTTTACAGGGCACAGAAGACACATCATAGAAAAAAAGAATATAATAAAGCAACACGTATCATTGTAAAATATTGTGACAGCTGAGGCCAAATGTACGAGTAATAAAAATCTCATACTGTATGTTTCTTGAATATGGAGAGATTTAGAAAGGGTAAATAAAGGTATGAACAAATGTATTTCATTCAAGTGGAAATTGTTTAAAAGGCCTATTTTCTGAAAAAATAGAATTCAAGGCAAAAGCATTAAATATAAATGGGGCACTTTTTAATACTAAAAGTCACAATTGACAACAAAGACATAAAAATTGTATCTATGCACCAAATAACATGGCAACTACTTTATAAAGAAAAGGACAGAAGATGTATAGAAGATATATAAATTTAAACACACAAATAAGAGACTCCAATATTCCACTCAGTACAAGACACATCAATTGAGCAAAAAGTGATAATAAGAGGAGGCCTTAAACAAAATGACCAATGAGGCAGATTATGTGGATACAGGTTGAGTATTTCTTATTTGAAATGCTTGAGACCAGAAGTGTTTCAGGTTTTGGAATACTTGAATTACCCTAAAGGTATCATGCAGGCCTTTTTGGCATTTTTAAACAGTATCTTGACACCACAGAACAGAGAATAAGCAAAAAAACAAAACTAATGCACCTAGGTATGGGCTTCACATGAGGCATTATGAGAAACCTGCCACTGGCATATGCCCCCTACACACATACCATTTTATTACTTTTTTTTTTTTTTTTGAGACGGAGTTTCACTCTTGTTACCCAGGCTGGAGTGCAATGGCACGATCTCGGCTCACCGCAACCTCCACCTCCTGGGTTCAGGCAATTCTCCTGCCTCAGCCTCCTGAGTAGCTGGGATTATAGGCACGCGCCACCATGCTCAGCTAATTTTTTTTTTTTTTTTTTTTTTTTTGTATTTTTAGTAGAGACGGGGTTTCACCATGTTGACCGGGATGGTCTCGAACTCTTGACCTTGTGATCCACCCACCTCGGCCTCCCAAAGTACTGGGATTACAGGCTTGAGCCACCATGCCCGGCCCCATTTTATTACTCTTTACAGATACACACGCAGGGAGAATCTGGGTGTGTGGGAAGGTATGTTACAAATGCAACAGGCTGGAAAGGTTTTCTTTCCCCAGGGATGCGGAATCAACTGTGTTGTGTGCCTATGTTTTACTATGACCTGTAATATGAGATCAGGTGTGGAATTTTCCTCTTTTTTAAGACATGGTTTCACTCTGTCACTGAGGCTGGAGTGCAGTGTATAGCTCACTGCAGTCTACAATGCCTAGGCTCAGGCAGTCCTCCCTCCTGACTAGCTTGGACTATAGGTGAGAGCCACGATGCCTTGGTAATTTTTTTAAGTTTTTGTAGAGGCAAGGTCTCACTATACTGCTCAGGGTGGTCCCAAACTCCTGGCCCCAAGTGATTCTTTGCTTTGGCCTCCCAAAACGTGAGCATTACAGGTATGAGCCACCATGGCTGGCAAAACTGTCTTTTTGTGGCATCAAGTTGGTGTTCAAAAAGTTTTGGATTTCAGATTTTCAGATGAGGGATGCTCAACCTGTATATATCAAAACTTTATATACTGATAATATAAAATATACCTTCTCAAGTGAGCATCAAACACTTAGAAAATCAGGTACCAGAGGTCACACAAGAAATATTGGAAAGTTATATAAAATTATTAAAAAAATAACATTGGTCACAATTCAGTAAAACTGAATTGTTGAAATTATTAACAAAACAGCTTTCCTCTGGAAATTAAAAGGTCTTCTATTAAAGATTCTTCAGTGAAAGAGGAAGTACAAACAAATTACAGAATTTTTAAAAAAACAGGAACTGTTAGATATATGCAAAACAGTAATAAGAGGAAAATTCATAACAATAAATTTTTGTGGGGGTTAGGTGCAACAGCTTATGCCTGTAATCCTAACATTTTGTGAGGCCAAGGCAGGAAGATCACTTGAGGGCAATACAGCAAGATGACATCTCTACATAAAACTTTTTTGAAAATTAGCCAGGTGGGGCCAGGCGTGGTAGCTCATACCTGTAATCCCAGCACTTTTGGGAGGCCGAGATGGGCTGATCACGTGAGGTCAGGAGTTAAAGACCAGCCTGACTGACATGGAGAAACCCTGTCTCTACTAAAAACACAAAATTAGCCGGGGGTGGTGGCACATGCCTATAATCCCAGCTACTCGGGAGGCCGAGGCAGGAGAATTGCTTGAACCCAGGAGGCCGAGATTGCAGCAAGCCAAGACTGTGCAATTGCACTCCAGCCTGGACAACAAGAGTGAAACTCCCTCTGAAAAAAATAAAAATAAAAACATAAAATAAAAAAAATTAGCCAAGTGTGGTGGCATACACCTATAGTCCCAGCCACTCCAGAGGCTGAGATAGGAAGATCACTTGGAGCCCACGAGTTTGATGCTGCAGTGAGCCATAACTGCACAACTGCACTCCAGCCTGAGTGACCAGGGAGATCCCAACTCAAAAATACCTATTTTCAGTGAAATAAATTTTTGATAATGACCTGGGTAAAAAACAATAGAGTAACCAAAAGGAAGGAAGTACTAAAGATGAAATCAAAATCAATGAAATACGGAACATAAACAGATCTAATTTTTAAAAAACAGAAGTTTGTTGCTCCTGAATGACGACTGGATAAACAATGAAATGAGGGCAAAAATAAAGATGTTCTTTGAAACCAACGAGAATGAAGACACATCATACCAGAATCTCTGGGACACATTTAA